ACGTCTTTCGGTTTCAGGATCCAGGTCCGCGATTGTTTTTATTTTTCTGTCTCATCTTCCTCCTCTTTAACCTGAGCGGTCACCTCAATCCTGCCGTCACCGTGTTCACAGCAGAGATGAAAAACTTCCTGCCCGAATATTGACTGAGAGGCGATTAGACTTTACAGCTGTTCAGACTTTGATGAGACACATCGTTCTGTTTCATCAGAAAGACCAAACTGAGATTGAGCTCTCAACTGTCACTCTCCTGCTGCGGTCAGTCCAACGCTGGAGGAAAGTCGGAGCGATGTGAAGATTCATCGCTCCGGTTTCATATGACTCTTCAGTCCACGCAAGTTTGTATTGGCTCAGATCAACAGTGATGAAAACATGACACCTGGGTCGACGTGCCGATTGAGATGCTTGGTGTTTGAATTGTGTTTGGTCTTAGATTGATGTTGTTTGTGAGGAAGTCTCAAAGCGAGCGCTGGTCTCAGACACGAGGTTCAGATCTGCGGCTCCAGAAGTGATGATTTGATTCAACTCTACCATCGAATATTCACGGGAGCGTGAACATGAGACCGTCAGGATGTTCTCTCATCGACTGCATCAGTGTCTCCTGCACTTTGATTGTTGCCAGAGCGGAGAACTGTTGCTCTGAGGTTTCTGGGTGCTCTAGAAATCTGTGACAACCTTTTTTTTAATCAAAGCTGTAAACTGTGTTGCAGTCGATGAGGAGCTTAATTGTCTTGTTAGTAACCAACCAAACTGCCAGCAGGGCCGCGTGTCCCGGCCTGTGTTAGAGCCACTTCCCTGGAGGTCAATTACTTCCTGCTCTGCCTCGGCGTCAGACTCCAGAATGAACCTGGAAGGAGTCTCTGTGTCGCTGTGATCTGTTCGACATGAATAAAACATCAGAGCCACTTCACTCGCTGCTTCCCAGGTGAAGATTAGTCTGCAGCAACAGCTGATGAAGCCAAACGAGCCGAGAGTCGGCCGGCAGCTCCATCTGCCTTCGAGGAAAAAAAGACAAAAAACACAAAACTGGACAAATGAGCTGCAGTTACAGAGGAGGGGGAGGGGGGGAGGATGGGGGAGGGCAGGGTGGTAATTAGACGGCAGGTCCTTCTGCAGCATCTGCTCAGCGTCACTGTCAGGGTTGAAGGTTCATTTCCCTGAAAACTCTTTTTCCATCTCGTCTGCTGTTGTTTTCATTCAGTTCATTGTGTCAGACTTTATTTGACTTTCTGGCTCTGGTGAGTTAATAACATCTTTCTCATTTGTTTGTGTATTTACAACATTACATTCATCTAACACATATTACCCATGATCCTCTGCTTCCTGAAGCAGGAGTTTCCTGCTGAATATTGGAGATAAACTCTGGTTCTTAATAACTTCTCAGTTTAGTTTACAGAGAACAGACTCTCAGGGAGTGAAGGAGGAAACTTTCTCCATGTTCAAACATCAGACTTAAGGTTTAAGTGTCATGTTGTTGGTTTAATATCTGTCGGACCGAGGACTGAGCCTTGAGGGACACCTTACCTAAAGAAAAGTAGCACAGCGTTGATGTAAACTGTCACTGTGTCCTGTGTCCAGGAGCTGCAGAGACACTTCAGTCAGGTGGACCAGAAGCAGCAGTTATAAATATTGATGATTGTTGACGTAAAAGCAGAATCACAGAAGATATTTTCTCACTCAGATCCCTGAAGATTCATCACAGAGATTCTTAAAATAAAGACTTGTCACACTAAACTGGGCCTCCTGCTGCTGCTGGAGCTCACATCTGAAGACAAACTAAAACAAAGAATCTAAAAATGCAAAAGGAAGGACGTCAGCGTCGCTTTGTTGCCCGTAGCAACAAGAAGGAGGAGGAGGAGGGGGAGGAGGAGTGTTTCATGTTTTATTCAAGCAGCAGAGGAGAACAGAGAAAAGCTCTTCACACAGAAACTCACCCAGCTGCTGCGGTCAGGACGTTTAAAACAGATCCAGGAACAGCAGGAGCCGAGGGACACACAGCGTTGAGTCTTCGTCGGACTCAACAGACCGAGCTTCTTGGGGGGGGGGGGTCTTACCAGCAGCAGTGACGTGGTGTTTACAGAAACACAACAAAACGTCTGTGGGGGTTTGAACCAGACTCCACATGTATTTTCTGTATTTGTGTGTGTCAGTCCTGATCCGGCCGGTTGGCTTGGTGCTGTGCAGCTTCTTCTCTCAGACTGTTGTGTCTGTGTTGATGACACCTGGTGGCTGGAGGATGTTTTCAGGTGGTCAGTCCTTCCATCTCGTTCCTCTGGACACGATATCTCCAGAACATCGTGACAGATTCACCGGTCAAGGCCACAGTGATCGTTCAAAACATGAACGTGACATCTTTGATATTACTTCAAATTTAGATTGGTATTACATTTCATAGGTCAAAGGTCACAGTGACCTTAAAAAACCCCAGAATCCTCTCTTGTTTCTCTGTTGAGGCCTTTTCTGTGGTCGAAGTGAAACAGGAACTATGATGAAAGTGAAACCTGCGTTCATGCATCTTGTCGATATCAGACTCAGAGTCTGTCTCCGCTCGGACACTTTTTCAGCTCATCCTCCGCCGCTGATTCTCGTCTGTTTGACAGATTTTGTGAACTCGTTTTCACCCGTCATGAATTTATTTCCTCTGTGGCGGCAGAACGTGTTACAGGCGTCTTCAGAAACTCTGACAGGCTCACTGTAAACACACTGAAAACACTGGTTAGCTTAAAAGCTTCATGCTACATATGCATCAGGTGTCAGGACTCTGACCTGAAATCAGTGTGCAGCAGGTGTGAGACAAAAGTAAAATGTTGTCGTTGTGTTAACGGACGGACGGTGATGGCGTCTTTGAACGCTCCTCAGAGCTTCAGTTAGTAGCTCTGAGGCTTCACCACACAGGACGCCATCACGTCTCATGACCCTGCTCTCCAGTCGGGCCTTTACGCCTCCTCATGACACAGAAAACTGGAACATTTGTGTCTCTGAGCGTGGAGGGGGTTTGAAGGCCCATCATGCATCAGTGACGCTGGTATTTTACACTAATGTCACGCCGCCTCCCTCCGCTGCTCCATGTCTCTGTTGAGGACAAATTCTCTGCTTTGAGAAAAAAAACAAATCAATACGGCACAGAGCCTCCTCCATGTCCGCAGACGGGACGTGAACCAAACTAAAGAATCAAAGTAGACGTTAAATGAATGTTTGTCAAAGATGTTTCTGTCAGTTCAGGTCGTTCTTATCTCTCAGTTTGTTTCTGATCAGTTTGGTTTGAATCAGTTAAGTCACCTGTTCGTGTCACTCGTGTCTCGTGAAGTTGTGGTGGGAAAATAATCAGTTTACACACACACACACACACAGACACACACACAGACACACTGTGTGCAGCCTGTCTCTGTGCTGCAGCAGTTTAAGGGTTAAAGGATGTGGAGCGTGTTGAACGCCTCAGAGCAGCAGACAGATGACGTATGAACGTCCAGAGTCAGAACTGCAGTGGAGGGACGAGGGAGGAGGGGGTGATGGTGGATGGAGCGGTGCTGAGGTGGCCATGACGACGGCGCCGGGCTCCTGGGATCTGGGAGGTGGATGTGCCTTGGGGGGGGGGGGGGGGTGCTGCCACGCTCCGTCAGCTTCTTTAGTTCTGCTCTGATCCAAAAGACCAAATTATGTGCATTTCAAATCTGTGTTTCTGTTGTAAAAATGTATGAAGGCGAGGAGCCTGGACACAACACACACACACACACACACACACACACACACACACACACACACACACACACACACACACACACACACACTGTGGTTTGTTTCCTCTGGTCCAAACACACAATTTCATTTACATTTCTGTTTGTCGCATGTTGAGGCTGCTTGTTCAGCAACTGTCTGGATCTAAAAAACTGGGCAAACGGGAAACAACACACTCACCTCCCTGTCTCACACACACACACACACACACACACACACACACACACACACACACACACACACACACACTGATGGATGTTGCTCCTGGATGTAATTAGCTGTGAACGTCTGCACCTCCACAGAGCTGCTCAGCAGGTTTCTTTAACGTGTGTGGATGAAATGTTTGGACGTCGTCAGTACTTCAACACACAGAGCGTTTGTTGTGTGGATTGTTCTCGAGGGTTCGAGGGGTTCAACGCTCCTTTATCATTTTCAACTGAGCAGCAACGAGATTCTGATAAAATAATAATCATGTTTGTCAGTTTTAAATTGTGATGTTTAGCTCGTAATTTTTCCTGACGTTTGTGTTTAATTTCCTCGTTCCTCAAACCTGAAGGTTCGTTTCCTCTGTTTGCTGCGTGTCCGTCCTGGTTTCACCCCCCCACCTCCAGCTGCTTGGCTCCAGGGGGTTTTCTATCTGCCCGGTTGTTACTGAGGCCAGCGGAGGCCATTTTTAGGAGCGGAGGAGGTGCCCAACAGTAATTACAGACCATGATACAGCTCTTTAAAGTCCACTCAGCTTTAAAACACACACACACACACACACACAGAAATCTGGCTTTTATCTCAGAGAAAATGTGGATGATTTTAGTCGCCAGTTGCACATTTCTGAGTCACTGCGGTCTGTTATTATCAGACAGGACATGACTCCCTTCACAAGGTGCCAGCAGAGAGAGAGAGTGTGTGTGTGTGTGTGTGTGTGTGTGTGTAATCACTGCACCCCCACTCACTTGTATCTGAGAGACAGAACGACACAATCCCACACAACTAAGACCATGAAAACTGATTTCTGTCCCTGTCCCTGTCCCTGTGAGTGTCCTCTCTCCTGTGACTCTGCATCGCAGCACAAACGTCTGATGCTCGTCCTCTCCTCTGTTGTGTGTTGCTGGGAAATGTCCTGTCCATATTCTCTCCCTCCAGCTTTTATTGTTCATAAACTCATAAAAGTGTCTGTGCTTTTCCCGGGGCGAGCGTGTGCGATCGGATCGTGATACCTGTGTTGACGACGTCCGTCTGTTTAACTCCTCCTCCCTCTGTTTGTGTTGCAGACCTGTCGGAGAAGAAGAGCGACCTGAGGGTGTGCGATGACTCCACCTGTCGATTCGGAGGCGTCTGCAGAGACGACGGAGCTCAGCTCAAATGTGTCTGCCAGTTCCAGGTATGCATTTTCATTATTTCTTCTTCACTGGTGATATTGAGAATTTCTCTCCACCCTCCGTCTGAGCTCTGAGCTCTGAACCCATTGGTTCCCCCTGAAGATGTAAACCTTTAAGAACACCTCTACGTGTGGCTCCTGCTGTGTTCGGAGATCAGCTCCTCCACAGTTTCTGCAGACTTTATACCAACTCCTCCAGAGAATGTCCGGAGGATCTCCGGAGTTCATTGCAGGACTGAAAGCAGCTTATTAAGACGACTATTAGTCGTGCAGCCGCTGTTTACTTATTCATTCACATGCTGCTAATTTAAGATCTTGAACGGAGGAAACTGTCTCCACTCATCAGTTTGTGTGATTCTGCCTCGAACCAGCGAACAAGCAAAGAGCAGCTGAAGAAGCGAACGAACCAGAACTGACAACTGTGGTTCAGTGAAAATCTCATGTTGTTATCATCCTGTTATCATGACGCCCCCCCCCCTTTTAAATGTTATAAAACTAAATAGTCGACATCATGGCGGAGGATTCCACCTCAACACTGCAGTTCTTAAAGAACAGGTTCAGACAGCCGGGGTTTGTGATGTCACAGATGTGAGAAGCCAATCCTGTCAGCTTGTGGGAGGGGCTCAGTCGAGTGATTCTCACCAGAATGTGAAAAGTTAAAGGTCCAGTGTGTAAGATTCAGGTGAAAGGATCCATTCAGATATTTAATGTAGAATAATCCTCATGATGTTTTCACTAGTTTGAAAATACCCTTTATATTCAAATACTTTATATTTAAATACTTTACATTTACATCGAGGGGGTCCTCTCTACTGGACAAACTAAAACCTTTTGAGTTTTTATAACAACTGAAGCTGCCACAGGTTCTTTTTCATGTTTGGAAGGAGAGGGGGGGGGTGAGGGGTGTTCAGCTGCAACGTGACACTTCAACACTAGATGTCACTAAATTCTACACACTGCACCTTTAACTCAACATGAGAAGAAGTCATCTCTTTTCTCCTCTGCTCTGAACACTGTGTCTTCTCAGCTGCTGTCTGAAGGGTCCGAGCTGTGAGGGGACATTCTCAGAAAACATCACCAGAATATTCTCAGGATTTCGTCACTGCAGAAGCAACTGTTTGTTGCAGAGAGCTTTGTGAATACGGCCCCCGGGGCTGAGGTCATCAGTATCACACAGGAACTGCAGCGTGGGCAGAGTCAGCTGGACACACGATGTTAGTATGTTAGGAGGGAAAACAGACTGTAAATGAAGATGGATGACATAACGGCTCCCTGAAAGTGAAGCCAAAGCATCTTGAGTGCTCCCTTGTGGCTGGCTGAGGACATAAACCCTACCTCTTCCATGTTAGCAGATGGGACATGGAGCAAACAAAACAAATTATCAGAGGAGAAGTCAGAAGATCATCACGTCTGCAACCATTTGTTCTGTGTGTGTGTGTGTGTGTGTGTGAGAGACAGTTCACACTCAGCTCTCGCAGCAGCAGAGATTTATTTTTCAGTGTGATTGTCCTGAAGTCCAGAGACGAGCTGTAGAACGGTTCGTTGCTGAAGTGCAATGAATCCTGGGATCGGTTGATCCTTCGCTTCCTACATATGAAAGGACATATTTGAAGTTGAGCTGCTGTGAGATAATCGGTCTCCAAACGCAGCCTCTGCAGGATGAGGAGCTTGAATTGAGACGCACCTTTAAGAGACAGCAATAAAAAGCTTTTCTTATTGTCGGCCGTCATTTTGTGTTTTTTTCAAATCCTGTCTGCTGATACCTGGAGAATCAAAACCAATCCTGCTGCAGGATGATGATGATGATGATTTTATTTCGTCCTGGTCTGTCCCACAGTGATGTTTTGTCCATGGATCCAAAGGAGGAGCCTGTTTTTGTCCAGTGTGAAAGAGGATTTAATGCTGACGAACGTAGACTCGACTCGACGATGCTTCGTTTCTTCACATTCACAAAAAACCTCCTCTCCTCTCAGCTGGAGTTTGGATGTGATGGAGACAAACTGCCAAAACAGAGCGCCGGCGTCTTTGAAGATAACAAGCGAGAGGACGTCCTGCTGCTCGACCACACTCTGCTCTCGTCTCCGCTCGCTCCCGGAACTCGCTCTGAGCTCACGAATCTGTCCCCACGTGCTCCGTAATCTGGATGCCCCGGTTGATCGCTGTGTTTTGTCGGCGTGTTTTGTCTCCGATGAATTCTCAAGAAGCCGCAGACGTCACTGCAGTGGATTTCATTCGTACAGTTTGTAAAGCAACAGACTGAGTGTTTGTAGCAGAGGTCACGAGGTCCTCCCTGCAGGGCACCGCTGCTAAATGATTGATGGCTGTGAGTTAATAGAATATGGATTGGTGAAGGCTGATATGTGTCCTTGGCAGCTGCTGCAGTTTGTAGCAGAGTCGGGTCGGTTGGTCTCTGCCTTCATGCAGAATGAACGGAGCTGCAGATCGTCCTCTCACCGCTGAATGAGTCGCTCCACTGTCATTGACGTGTTATATGACTGACAGCTTGTTTTCATCCAGGCTTCGTGGCTCCTCTCGCTGAACTTCAACCGGATGAAGAAACTAAATCAGCTTCTACCTCTGAGCTCCGAAGTCTTTGTGACTTTGGTCAGAAAAGAGCCGCTGAGCTGCTCTTGACCTCTGACCTCTGACCTCAGACGTGTTTGAATGCCTCAGTTTACTCTGACTAGAGGTTAAACTGATTAACTCAACTCTCATAACTCAGCTGTGACAGAAACGAGTCCGTTCTCTTTCTGTATTTTACCCAAAACTGATCAATGTCATCGATAAAGAACTTTACTTTGACAGAATTTAGTCCGAAGTTGAAAACAGTTAAATAGTTCATGTTTCGGTCAAAGTGTTGAGGTCGTGAGCTCTTTCTGAAGTCCTTGTCTCTCCGCCGCCCTCGGCCGCCCGCTGTGAGTCATCAGCGCCAGGTTTGGAGTTTGTCCAGCGTCCCGTGGACAGCACGGCAATTAATTAACATTCGATTGTGTTTGATTTCCAGTGCCACAAAAACTACATCCCTGTGTGTGGCTCCAACGGCGACACCTACCAGAACGAGTGCTACAGGCGACAGGCGTCCTGCAAACAGCAGAGACTCATCTCCCGGGTGTCCGATGGCCCCTGCTCTGCCGGTGAGTCTGCCAGGAAACACAGAGGAGGCCTGAATTAACACTGATTGGTTGATTGAGGTCAGAGGTTTGAAGGGTCACATCTTTTCTTTTATTGTCATGGATTGTAATTTGGGGCCACGGATCAGAGCCGTTAACGTCCTTCCAGAGCGGAGTGGTTCCCAAGCTGAGGGGACCCTCCAGAGTCCTGCAGAGGTTTCAGAGGTGCTGGGTGGGGTTGAGATCAGGGCTCAGATAACTTCAACTGCACCAATATATTCTTGCGACATCACAATTAAAACGTAGAAACCAGGAGACCTGTAGGTGAGCGACGTTTCTACAGCTGGATAATCAGCTAACAGGTTAGCATGTTTCTCATCCAACACCCAGCGGACGCTCTGGACGCTCTGCAGTGCAGTCAGGGTTTATGTTCTCATTCCACTCTGAGAAACTTATCGTAACACCAGAGCAGTGGTGTCAGTAGTGGCGGTCAACTCCATCTGCAGGGGCAGTGGTCTGATTTCCCCGGAGGCCCCGCCTCACGATCTGCTCTTATTACCCGTTACACCGGGGATCAGGCGCTGCGATATGCCCTCCGCTTCCTTCGCCTCGCTCCCGTCCTCCGGCAATTTCCTCTCCCTGAGATTTATGCTTCCTGTAATTGGAGCGTTCGGCGGCTGTGAGCCGAGGCGACGGCACAAATACTGGAGTCTATMTCCCTGAGCAGCAGCGGAGGAGGAGACGTAGAGAGACGGGAAGGCGGAGCCTCCTCGCTGGGGTGTGATCACAGGTCAGCGGAGGTCTGGACCAAACCATCCCCCCCAGAGAGAGAGAGAGAGAGAGAGAGAGAGAG